GGCCAAGGAATCTTTGCCTACTCTGAGATCACAAAAGTACTCTTCTGTTTTCTTCAAGAAGCTTTATGGTTCTGGGTTAGGTCCACCATCCATCTCAAACTCATCTTGTGAATAAAGTCAGATAGGGATCGAGATTCATTTTTTTTCCAAATGGATTTCCAGTTGTTCTAGAAATTTTCATTGAAAAGCCATTTGTCGTGGTCCGAATGCAGGTTGGAAAAGAATTTCCAGACACAAGGCAGAATGTAAAGAAGACAGAATTTATTAGAGGGAAGGGTCGCTGCCAGAACAATGGGCCAACTTCCTAGTAGTCTGGGAGAGTCAAGCCCGAACATGTGCTATTGGTCATTTTTTATAGCCAGAAAATGAAAGAACGGTCCGAGGTAAAAATTTTGTTTACTGATTGGTCGAGGCACATATACCTTTCTTCTATAGGGTGGGAGTGAGACAGTCCAGATGCCTTTCCTTATTTGGGACAGGTACCATTGCCCAGGTGGGCGTCACCCAGGTGGGCTCAGGAATTTCATAACCATCGCAACATGGTGGGGAGGGCGAGTAAGAGTCCGGTAGGGGGTGTAACGCCGCCGACACTTTTTCAGGCAGGGTCGTCCTTTGTCCTTGGAGCACCACAATGTTCCTTTCCCACTGACTTGACTTGGCACTTTGGTAGAAAATCAACTAACTGTATATGTGTGACTCTATTTCTGGGCTCTATTCTGTTCCATTGATCTATTTGTCTTTCCTCACAGCAATACCACAGTGTCCTGATTATTGCAGCTTTATAGTAAGTCTTGATATTAAATAATGTTAAATCCTCCAACTTTGTTCTTTTTGAAGATCGTTTTGACTCCTCTAGAGCCTTTGCTTTTCCATATACATTTTCAAATCATCTTGTCTGTTTCTTCAAAATAGCCGGCCGGGATTTTGATGGGAATGGCATCAGATCTATGCATTTTGACACTCCTAGTACTCAGCGAGGATCGTCATTAGTACTGATCCACACACCGGCGTGAGTGAACACATTGCTCCGTAAAAGACTTTTCTGTTCTATTTTCCTCCGTCTCTCACCTGCTGTCCAGCTCCCTAAAGTATCCCCTACAGCTCTGCACACAGCGAGTGCTTGTGATCTGCCCCTTGACTGCTTTTGTTCCCAGGAGCTGAGTGAAATGTAAATCACAGAGGTCCTTTGTGCAGGTGACCACCTGCTAATGGAGATGTCTGGGGTTGGCTTTCCTGATACCCTACCCTGCTGACCCTGGTGCTCGCAGATGGGTGCTTACAAAGACCGGCTGTCCTCCTTTTCCAAGAAAGGCTGGCCTGTCTTCCCTCTCAGCTGGTCCTCTTTGCTTGGATGCTTATCTGGCAGGAGGCAGCTAGGCCACTTCTCTTCCCGATTTTTGTGAAGGTTGCATCGAGGTTATGTTGAACCAGCCAGTCAGCTTCGAGGGACAAAATTCACACACAGCAAAGGAATACATTTTTTGGAATAATCACAAAAATCCCTTGCAAGTAGAGAGAGATAGGGCAAGTATATACCTGTTTGATAGATGAGGAAACAGAGATGCAAAGTGACTTGTTCACCTCTCAGTGCTAATTAGCCTCCCAGCTGGGCCTGGAGTCCACCTTCCCAGTTTTTTTTGGTTTTTTGGGTTTTTTTTGTTTGTTTGTTTTTTGCGGTACGCGGACCTCTCACTGTTGCGGCCTCTCCCGTTGCGGAGCACAGGCTCTGGATGCGCAGGCCCAGCAGCCATGGCTCACGGGCCCAGCCGCTCCGCGGCACGTGGGATGCTCCCGGACCAGGGCACGAACCCGTGTCCTCTGCATCGGCAGGCGGACTCTTAACCACCGCGCCACCAGGGAAGCCCTATCTTCCCAGTTTTACACATCTAGCATCTTGCAGGAAAACAGTTGACTTTACAAAGGTGTTCACTGCCCAGCGGAAGAGATGATAGTGTTTTCATTGTTTGTTTCAGCTTCCTTGTTTGTACTTCTCTTTGTGGTTTCAGTGGCTGTGATAGTTATGAGCTGGTAGGAGCTAAGGTTTCTTTCTCTGCAAGGATCAGGTTGTCCCCTTTGGCCAGTGCTGACGTAGGCATGCTTGGGTGGAGCTTGCGGCTTTGTCCCTCCCTGATGCCTGCTCAGCCTTGGTCCCCCAACCGGCTGGGCTGCTGGTTCCAGCTCTTTGCTCTTTCCGGCCCACTTTCTCCATGCTGTCAGCTCCGTCCCCAAGGTAGACAGGCAGTGTCCACTCTTTAGCAGCACCAGCCTTAGACTTGGGCAAGTGGGGTCCCTGCCCTGGGCCTTGCGCTTCACAGGACACTGCTCTGACTCTCCCCCCACGACTATATCCTTCCCTAAGGGACAGGATAGTCTGTGGA